GGTTTAGGGGTTTAGGGTAGGGCTTATAGGGTCTAAAGCGCATCACGGTTTAGGGTTGAGGATCTTTGAAGGTACTCTAAGGGCCTAAGTAGTTACCAATACTATTTTGGGAGCTCCTCATCACAAGAAAAGTATAACGGAGCCCAAAACCCTATTCTAATTATGAAGGCCCGTCTGGTAGTCTGTTTCTTGTTTATTGTTCTTCCAGACGCTCTTAACTGCTTTCGTGCTGGTTTACTGCGGGTTCAGAGTTGTTTTTCACGATGTTAGCGCGGTGCCTTCTCGGCTCGGTACCCCTATTCATAGGGTACCTAAACCCTAAGCCCTAAACCCTAAACCCTATATATATATATATATAAACCATAAACCCTAAACCCTAAACCCTATAACTAAACCCTAAACCCTAAACCCTATATATGAACCGTAAACCCTAAACCCTAGACCCTATATATATATATATATATATATAAACCCTAAACCCTAAACCCTAAACCCTATTCATAGGGGTTTCCTCACTGAGCTTATCGAGTCCGAGGACACTGAGTCTAAAGAAACCGTTAAGAACTTGTCTATAAGAAACCCAAACCCTAGACAACGCAACCTAGACTTTCAACCCTAAACCCTAGCCTTAGTCAAGCTCTGTCTTCCACACCGAGATGACCACTTCGCCGTCCGCTGGAACGGCAAGCTGTGTCTCGGGATAAGGATTCAAAGTTTAGGGTTAGGGCCGTGGGTATGGAGCCGTACAGGACTTCAAGGGGTCCAGGTCCCGCTTGGGACGTTTTGTGGCAAGGAATAAAAGGGGTAGGCAACACAACTAAGATATCAGCCAAAGGTAAGTAAGATACCTATTTTTCATTCGGGCTCAAGGGATTGCAGGGTTTTTGGTAATTTAATAGAAGTAAGGACGAATTGTAATCCGGTGGTTGCGGTGATGGCCCGGCCATCAAGCACACCTGTATCAGCAAAGTTTCCCACGAAAGCATCTGTCGTTGCATGTTGTCGCATTTCTGGAGTAAGTAAACCACGTAATACAGGCAATGCATGTCACGACCCGTAGCTGTGATCTGATGAAGTAGTTCAATGCACAGTCTTGCAGTCTAGCAGTCTTGCAGTCTTGCAGTCCTCAGTCCTACAGCATCAGATCATCACACCATCATCATCATCAGCACATCCTTACCAGCATCATCATTATTCTCGGCAGCAGCAGCAGCAAGATTCATCAATCATTTTGCAAGCCAGGCATTAAAAACATCCTCTGGGACATTTAGGGTAGAAGGGCTTGAAAATTAGGGCTCAGGGTTCTGAACCCGAAAAGCGCACGCCCACCGAAAGCCCAAGCCCACAAGCCCCCAATTGCACTTACCAAAGTCCCTAAAAAATTCTAAGAGTTGGCTCCAGTCCATGGGTGGAACGTTGTACAATGCACTGAGACAGAGAGGTAGGCAGCTAATGGAAGAGAGTTTGGATGGGACAAATTTTGCTCTCGTGACTTGAACCTCAGCCAGCCGCCCCTCAAGGTTGCCAGCATGGCCCAGGTTACTGCAGTCCACCCCGCAGTCCCGCGGGGTGTTCATGTTGAGCTGTCTGCCAGTCAGATTGAGACCTTCTCCAGATTGGCAGAATTGGCAGAGAAGTATGGCATGGCAGAAGCTGCCAAGGCTTTGCAACGGCTCGTTCTTGTGAGGGGCTATGATGTGCATCCTTTGGAGTTTCTGAGTTTCTGAGACAAGCACGGAGAGTTTTCACTGCAGAGCCAGAAGGCTTTGCACCATTGCCATGATGGCCAACGGCACCGTTGAACCGACAGTCTTGCAGTCTTACAGTCTTGCAGTCCTACAGTCTTGCAGTCCTACAGTCTTGCAGTCCCCTAGTCTTGCTGTTTTGAAGTCTCTTGATTGCGAAGATTGCAGTTACATGTCGGTTGCGCAGTTGAAGATGGGTCGAGGCTTTGCCATTGAGCATTCAAAAATGACTGCCAAGTTGGAGCAATGAGCAGTTCAGCAGCTAGCAGATTCAGTTGTTGTTGCATGTCAGCATCGGATATGACACTCCGAATTAAAGGCTCAGACTGTGAAGCAATCCAGCAGTCTTCAGTCCCCTGTTGATTGCAGCAGTGTGCCCAGCATGCAGAGTGCCCACAACATTGCAAGGACATGTCAGCTGCTGATCTTCGGATTGTCAATCGATGCAATCCTCCAGTCCGATCTATTTGGCCAGGGTCCTCGTGATCTTCATGTTTTGGAAATATTCAGTCTGTCTAAGACCCTGGTCCAGGCAGCAGAGGCACGAGAGCTTTCTGCAATGAGTTTCGACTACATGAACCCGGGGCAAGGGGACATTTTGTCAGAGACTGGTTTTCATCAGGCAATTCGGCTGGTTATGCTTGTGCGGAAAGCTGGCCTGAGGTGCATTGCGCCTGATTGTTCCAGCTTTTCTTGAGCATGCTCAAGCAAGACGAAGCGCACCAAGCATAACTTTGCAGGACAGCAGCACGAGGTGTACATGTTTGCTTGGAAAATCCTGCGGGATCCATATTGTTTTCATTCCTGAAGCCTCACATCTTGGCGCTGGATTCAGTCCTCAGTCCTCAGTTCTTTTTGGCTGATCGCTGTGCCTTTGTCACTGAGAGACCTACATATGGCAAAAGGTACAAGTTCATGTGCTTGCACCCCAGTCATGCAGTCCTCAGCCCTTGCTGGTTCAAAAAAGCTGTTCACAGTGCTTGCACCTGTGTACAGGAACATCTGCCTTTGATGGATTCAACAAAGGGGGTGGATGGAAAGCTTAAGAAGACGGGAAGCCAGGACCTGAAGGCAAGTGGCCTTTACCCTCCAGCGCTGGGTGAGTCAATTGTGCTTGCTTGGTTGGTTCGAAAAAAGCCCAGTCTGCTGGACAGAAAGCATCCTTTGCCAAGCACTGAATCGCATGTCAGTCATGCAGTCCTCAGTCGTGCTGTTCATTCCAAGCCAGATGACAGTCCTCTCCGCATGAGTCCTGAGGAGGAGATTGATGCCCTTTTTGAGGTGGAAGATCATCCCTGGGGAGAGTCCACAACTTCTGTTTCTGGTCCTTCGAAGAAGCCGGTGGCCGTTCGAAAGCCAAACTCCAGAAGTCGACCGTGCTGAAAGCCAAGTCCAAAGCAAAGTCCAAGCCCAAAGCAAAGACCAAGAAGTCGTGTGCCATGAAAGCCAAGAAGAAGCCCAGTGCTAGATGTTCCGGTCAAGCACCGTCTTTGCCCAATGGAGCTGTGAAGCAGTGGCTGGAACTGGGACGACCTCCTTTCAGTCCACAGTCCCCCGTCCTGCAGATCTCCGACAATGGACAGCATGTTTCGCATTCTTCAGTCCTGAATCTTAAATTGCTGGGGGGAACACCTGAGTATGAATGCTTGTCTCTTGTGACAAATTTTTTGGGTGGTTTCGGAAGAAGCACTGGCCTGGGCTGACTCTTTGCGTACTATAGAATGTAGCAGTGACTGTACACTGAGTCTGATGTTTGAACACCAATCTGGAGTAGCAAAGTAGAGGAATCAGTTGTCCGCGCTCTTCCGAGGTTGTGCACAGTGCATGGAGAAGCACTGATCTACTAGTAGGTGATGGGCTGCTCAGTTTGTGGCAGAGTCTGCAGTCCTGCAGTTTGTAATGGTAAATATTGGGTCAGGTATAGTGTGACTTTGCCTAAGACAGTCATGGATTCCTTGCAACTGGCTTCAGTGACGGGGGGTGGATAAGGAAGGGGATTCCAAAATATTATATGTTTCTACCTCCAATATTGAGACTTGAGCCTTGTAGATGGTGGGATTAGCAGAGGAATCCAAAAGCCCGAGCCCATTCACATTCTGTTGAGACCGGGGATCGATGTTAGCAGTGAAACAGGGACAAAAAGGTATATGAGTTTCGGGCGTGAAGTCACTGCAACGGCTGTGTTACGCTTCCTTGTCGACGCAAGCTCATTTCTTGTGTTGTCTGCGTGGCTTTGGCTGATAAGATTTTTCAGAAGTATCAGTCTTGCAGTCCTGCAGTCCTAGGTGCCAGCCATGGACCCCGAGCCTGTTGCCAATCAGCAACAGCTTCATGCATTGTTTACTGAGGCTATGAATGTGCTCAAAGCAGAGATGGATGTGAGGACTGCAGACAACCAGCCAAAATTTACAGACGTCTGTGAATGGATGGCTGAGAAGCTGAGCTCTGATGCTGAGAGGTCGGCTTACCAGAAGCAGGTCGAGGACCTCCTGGCTAGGTGTGAAGCAGTGGCTGGAACTGGGACGACCTCCTTTCAAGAAGGTGCTTGTTGCAGAATGTTGAAGCGGTTCCCTTTGAATCTCTGGCAGCTGGGGGTCATGAAGCCTCACATGTCAAGGGGGCCCACAACTCCATGGAGTTCGGGACAGCGTGCAGAAGTTCATGACTGGGATAGGGTGTGAACACACACAAGCTCCCCTTGGAGATTCTGTTCGACTGGCCAGCCGCGTGGAGACCAGCTGGTGCTGCTCCGGTTCCTGGCTCACCAATCGAGCCCTTCAGTGTCGGAATCAGCATAGGGTCGACTGTTACCATGACATGCCACCTTCTCATTTTTGCTGCCATGAAGATTGCTTGGTTGAACAGTCCAACCGTCCTAGTCCTAGACCATGTCAAGAAGGATCTGGCAGTTCGGTTGATGAGCTGTGTTTGCAACTGGGATGTGATGGACACATTTGATCAGTTATTCTTTTCAGTTTGAGTTTGTGGTTAATTTCAACACTGAATGAAAAGTGTACCACACATGTGACAGGTATCTGCGGCGCCTGCAGTCCTTAGTCCTCTGTCGAGAACCAGTCCATGGAGGGTTTGCGCATTAAGACAGACGCAAGTTCGAGGAGCAGGCCCTCGATCATTAACATGCACTTTCGGTCTGGGTCTAAGTCATGAGATATATCCCAGTGTGTCAGTGATTGCTCTTGTGGTGAGTGTCTGTGGTTGTTGATGACAATGCTACTGCTGTTCCCTGTGGACCTTAAGGTTCGACAAGGTTCATATTATTATAGATGTAATATATGTACAAATTTATATCTACTGGGTCCTTATGCAACAACAAGACTGCTAGACTGTACACACAATGGCCTATTTTTCGGGGGCAAGCAACCCAGAAGCAACCCTGAACATAATACAATAGTAGTAATGTTTTCCTCCGCTGTCGCAGGGGTGCTTCTGCTCAAAGTCAACGCATGCCCGTTCCTAGTCCCGCACTGCAGTCTTGCAGTCTTGGCAGTCTTTGTGCTGTGCCATGGAGCCGGTGGACCCAGGGCCCATGGATGACTGTCCCCCCGACCGACGGGTACTGATGGAATGTGAAAGATATGCAACACGAAAGTGGCAGATCGTGCTCTGGCAGGAGACGGAGCAGTATGCACGAGCCAAGCTCCTTGCGATGAACAGAGAGCATCAATCTGTTCCTCCCGGTGATCCTCCAGTGACACCAAGACGCCTTCATGACTACTCCAAGCGTGAATCGGACAGGAAGTTTTGCATTTCAAGTCGAGAGTCCGCGCCTATGCAGACTGGTTCGATCTTATGAAGTAGTAATTCAATGCACAGTCTTGCAGTCTTGCAGTCCTCAGTCCTACAGACAGAATCAATACTTTACTCTGTCAGACAGAATCAATACTTCACTTTTTCAAAACTGAGGACTGCAAGACGGAGACTGCTCACTGTGCAGCTGCGACACATCCGATGTGTTTGAGTGCTGGGTGCAAAAAAGGTCCGTGTGTATGTGTGTGTGCGGGAGCCTCAGATCCAGGGTCTAGACTGAGGCCCAAACCATCCCAAATAGGTATCTTACTTACCTGTTGCTGATATCTTAGTTGTCTTGCCGAGCCCTTATAATATAATCGGGGTACATCGATTGTAAGCAAACACTGGTACCGCACATGATGCTTTTGAGCCACACAGCCCTTCTGCTTTATTTTGAGGCACAGCTTGAGCAATGTTTTTGTCTATCAGAGCCCGCATGTTTAGAAAGTGTTTCTTTAGCACAGGGTTCCCAAACCCTGCAGTTTGGAGCCCTGAGCTCTAAACCCTAAGACCTAAGCCCGAAACCCAAAGCCTTGCAGTTAGGGGCCCTAAACTTTAAACCCCAAGCCCTATAAACCCAAAACCTTAAGCCCTGCAATTCGGGGCCATCCGGCATTCAACGGGTGCGATCCAGGAGTCTCTTCCGGTTTAGGGTTCATTCACTGAGCTTCATTACATTTACCGTATACCTATACATACGGTTGATGGACAAAATCATGCATGACCTTATATACCTAAACTATGGGATTTATGGTACTATACTATATTTGGGTCATGCAGAATTTTGTCCATCAGCAGTATGCATATACATATACATATGCAGTTTATTAAACTACATTAATCAGGATCCCTCATAATATGGTTTAGGGTATATTCTCTTTTTTTTACGGTATGTTGGAAGATCCGGGTAATATAGAAGCCTCCAAAAAGTTCCTATATTCCTCCTTAGGTTTTGTTATCATACGTATACTAGAATATTCCAGACCCCTGTTCTAATCTTTAAGGCCCCTAGAGGAGCGGGATATCTTCGGAGGCAAGCGTCGGTTCGCAATTACGGTTTAGGGCGTGGAACATGCTCTCAAACGGATGGACTCCTTGATGAAAGGCCAATTTTTGGGTGGGCTTGTGGGCTGTACGGATTTTGACACGTGGTTGGAAGGTGGTAGCATTTAAGACTTTGAGGTGTTTGGGTGTTGGGGTACTTAGAGCCCTGAGCTGTAATCAAGAGGGCTGAATGCTCAGTAGTACTACGAATGAGATAAAGCCTGTGTTATCCATCATACGGAGTATACAATAATTGCCATAGTTTAGGATCCTTAAGGCAAAGCCGGATTTATGTCATGAGCAGTATCTCCTTATAGTTACTGTACCCCACAACTGCAGCTCAGGTTGGAAACTGGGTCCTGGTTCAGAAAAGTGTGGTTTAGAGGGCCCGACGCCGCTCCCTACCCCAAATGCCAGCACTTCCAGATCCCTACGTCATGTGGGAGACCCAAAATAGCAGAATGTTTATGATAAGAAGCCCTGAAGAACTCATCCCTGATCTTCTGACCGCCCCCTACTCCCGGCAGATCCCGGAGCACTAACCCTTAACCCTACCAAGGAAGATTGAGACGCCAGGGCAATACGAGTTTTCATTGACGCTTCGGCTGCACTTTTAACTCTCCAGGGCTCGGTCTAATGGGTTAGCACGGGCAGCGGGTGGTTTAGGAATGTTTAGTAGGGTTTAGGATTTAGTATTTAGGGTTTAGGGCGGGATTTTGATCTTATGGTCCGGTGCCCAGCACGTGTTCGATTTGATTTGTCGTTTTGGGTTCCTAAACAAAGTCCCGGACCCTATAAATCCTACACCCCCAAGTACCGGCGACACAACTACTGCGAAAATGTAGTGTTTGCAGCTAGGTTCAGGTCCAAACTGCCCAGAATACCATAAGCTGTAAGGTTAACTTGTGCTGACTTGCTGGCTTATGGCTCATGGTGATCAAAGCCCAAACTTGACCCAAACATCCTGATTAATCATGATTTTATAGACATGCGCAGAAAGGCTTCTAATGAAACTCTAATGCTTCAGGTGAGAAGGGGTTCGCGGCGCCACAGCTTTCAATCGGTCGGGCTTGAGGGTTATGGAGTTTCACCGGAATCCCGCACGTCCCATTGCAACTCACAACTCCCAGGCTCTCGTAGTAACCCGATAGTGATCTGACAAGTAACCGCTGTACGGCAACCCATATTACAGACTAGATCCATTACCTCCCAAACCTGAAACCCCTGCAATACCTACCTTTGCAATTTTCAAGGACATATATAAGGAAATCGCGCTGTTTCTTTTCTTCTGCCGTTCTGGAAGGCAAAAGCTGTATTTTTTTAAAGAACTTTCAATATGTGCCTAGACTCTAAGCAGCACTGAACATCCAACTCTTTCTATTGATCCCAAACCTTAACCGTAAACACCCTACCAACACCCTAAACTCTAAATTCCAAATCCCCAAAAACAAAGCGTAACCCCAAGACCTTTGGCTTCAGGACTTCGGACGACGGCAGCAAGCTCTACATCAACGGCTCCTTTCACTCTTCATTACCATTACGACTAATATCATCACTCTTTGTAATGGCACCCTAAACCCTAAACCCCCAGACCCTATCTTGATTTTTGTTATTGTGATTGGTTGGGTTACAGCCCCGAAGGTTTGTTGGGTGGGTTTTTGTTGGGGATTCAGGTTTTAGGGACTTCAGCTTTCTGGAATTATTCCATACAGTTGAGGGCTACGAGCTTAGGATGCGAAGTTCTGGGAATTAGGGTTTAGGTTTTAAGGTTTTGCGGAAGTTGGGTTTCTGACAAGTTGAACTGCCCTCCCCCCCCGGCCCGCCCTGGGTACAGGTCTTTTGGCCAAGGGGCGATGATAAGACATTTCAATGGTCCCGAATAACCCTTACTAACCATGGTTGAGCTGTAGGCAAGCAGAACTGCTCACCGTAAGTACCTCTCCAGATCGGTTTGTGTCGCACCACAATGCTGCAGCTTTGGTGATCTTTAGATACATCGGCTTGATTCGCGGTTGTGGCTGTGAATGGCGTAGGGTGCTTGGGATGTCAAAAAGGGTATTAGGGTTCCGGGCTCAGCTTACAGGTGGGTTTTGAGTCGACATGACCCGAATTGGCTGATCATAAAATCTCGCGAGGTCTGACAACAAGCTACGGCCGGAAACACTGCTTTCTGTTCATAAATGAGTGCTTGACCTTTAACTTTGCACTCGGGACGTTGCCCGGAAGGCCTCAAATTCAGATGCCTGTTCAGCCCCCCGCAGAAACCTCAAGAAGCGACATGAACCCAGCATATGAACGCCTCTCTTTTGGGGTGCGTCGAAGTTGCAAAGGTCAGCAAGTCATCGACAATGATGGCCTCCATGGTGACCGCGAAGTGAAGGCGCTTTGGAGGGTCTTCCAGTCCTCTTCCAAAGCAACCCCAAATTTAGGGTTTAGGGTACCCTCAACTCCCAGATCCTAAACCCAAAGCCCTAAACCCTGAGCCCTAAGCCCTAGGCCCTGAACCATTTCGGAATAGGCTTCCAGCTCTTCCCCAGCATCCAATGCTTACCTTGAGGGGCTACAGTACGTGCTCAGAGCCCGGCGAAAAACAGAGGATTACAGAGCCCTTGAAGCAACCCTAAACCCTAAACCCTAACAGCTAAACCCTCAACCCTAAACCC